CTTCCAAACTGGCCGTGGTGGCCATGCTGCCGATAGTAATTGAAGATCTCGCGGCTCTGCGCAACTCTTGCGTTGCCCTGCCACCCAACGGGCTGGACGTGTCTTCGGCAGTCTCAACTTTATAGTCTGCGTGTTCTCTACGTTGATACGAGGTGCTATCTGTCCAGTACTCCTGTCGATATCAGGGTTCTGCTCCCGCAGCCACATCATGCCTAAAACGATGTCCTTTCCTTCAGGAATAGGCATATTTTGGAATGTTCCCGCTGTGAGAGGAAACCCTGGTAACTGCAGAGACATCTCTACAGTACGACGTGGATGATGCTCTACTTGATCATAACCGAGATCAACTCGCATCATGTCACCTTCAGTGACATCCAACTCGAGCTTCTTCACCAACTCCTCAGTTACGCCATTCAGGCTATTGCCGTTCTCGATGAATATCGTGACGGGCCTCTCTCGGTCTTTCGTCTTGAATGCTCGAGCGTCAGCCTCCAGGATCGTATACACTGCGCCCTGCACGTACCGATTCGCTTCAGTACGTTTTGACTGAGTACAATCGGGAGAAATGTGACCAACTTTGCCGCAATTTCTGCACATAGCTGTCTTCTTCCAATCATCGCTCTTGCCTTTCTTATTATCGGAGCGCTTTGTATTATGCTGCTTCGACTTCGGCGCACGATGCCCGAGCTTGACGGTCCTTGCGAACCCTTCGCAGGAGCTCTTGGGGGTTTTCCCGAGTAGTGCGCAAACTCAAAATTTGACGCAATCTCAATGGCATCTTGCAGTGTCGAAGGACTCTCTTCCTTGATCTTTCTTGCTGTCTCTTCTCTTAAACCGTTCTGAAAGAAGAAACGCTTCTCCAACTCGCTGATAGAGAACTCAGTCTACGACAGCCAGTCTTGAAACTTGGAGACGTATTCATGGATGGTCTCATTCTGCCTGAGACGAAACATCCTCTCGCGAAGATCGTATTTAAAATCCTTCGGTCTGAAACGAGTGTGAAGTATTCCCTTGAAGGGCGACCATGTGGGCTGCACATTCGTACCCTCACACTCTTCGATAAACGCTCGATACCAATTCAGCACTGACTTGCCCAAGTTGCTGGAGATCATCGTCACAAAATCTGATGATTCTGCTTCCTTCAACTCGCGTCTGCTTGCGTAGTACTGCTTGGTGGCGAAAATTCAAAACTCAATATCTTCGCCGTAGTTGCCTTCATACATAGGCGGATCCTTCTTCTTCTGCTCACCCCTGGACGCAAGTAGATATTCGAATCTTGCGTTGGCCTGCTGCATCTGTGCTTGCAGCTGGGTTTGCATCTGGTTTCGGTATAACTGTTGCTGCTGCGTTAAATAAACTAGCAGCTGTAGCATCGACATCGTGTCTGATGCTGCGCCTGCTTGTTCCGATGACGTGTTCGTTGGTTGCGGTTGGCCCTGCTGTGGATCAGGAGCCGTCCTAGCCGTTGCCTGCGGTTGGCCCTGTTATGAATCAGGAGCCGTCCTGGCCGTCGTTCGAGGAGTTCTACGCGGACGCGGATTTGAAGAGTCGCGCTCATTCGATTTACCACGTGTAGATGACATATCGAGTGGACTTTTAGTAGCACGAACTCGATCCAATAAAACCAAATAAAACCAAATTAAAAGAAGGGAAAAACCTTTCTTGTTACGAATACTTTCTTACTGCGCGATCGAGCTTGGTAGAAACGACGTCTTCAATATGCCCATGCTCAATGACAACTTCGTTGATCAAGTCGTCGACCTTCTTCTCGACCTAGTCGTTCTCAAGGTGCTTTGATCTTTCAGAAAACTACGGGCGATGCGACTAGACTTCTTGATATGCTCAAGCAAATCTCCTTGGTACTTAACGAACCTGTCGCGGTCGTAAGGGTAATCGAAAAGGTTCGTATCAGGAAGAGGAGCTCGTCCCACAACGTTGAGGACAGGTGGTTTTGAACTGTCCGTCAAGTTGAGCTCACGACTCTTCTTTTTTTACGGTTCTTGGGATGGTTCGGTTTACACCGGCCCATACACCAAAAGAAAGGGTAAATTGGAAGCTACCGGGTAGACTAGGGAATTAACTTGCGTCAATTAAGAGCACCCCTTATCACTTAGCCGGCTTCTAGTAGCAACCAAAGAGTTACGTGTGCTAGACAGAGCTTGGATCGACCTTTCAAAGTCGAAACTCCAACCTGTGTAGGACACGAACTCTCCCAAAGACAACCCTTTAGGTCTAATACTTCCCCAGGAATTGGCTGGTGCTAATAACCAAGGATGAACTCGCTTCTGGCTATGTCGCCCACCAGACACCCGCCTTGAAGATGGAGCGAAGCTTGGACACGGCAAACGCTACTATGTAACACAGTGGTGAGCGCTGGGGCGAGGCAGCGTAGACTGTGCCGAGACGTGAACCGGCGAAGAGAGGAACCGAGGCGACCCGAAGCGAAGCCCTGAGGAGGCGTGGCCAGTTGATGGACCACTGAGGGTTGTTTGGTAAATCGAAAAGTAAATTGAAATGAGGAAGGCTCTTATGGCTACCTGGCACCTACGGGTGGCTCACAGTGCTCTCCTAAGAATACAGTAGAGTGTATCCTAAAGTCTATCTTTTCCTATCTTCTGATTTGGCTATCTACCAATGATTTTCTTATAAACTTCCACGTAGCAATGTTGACTTGATTCTCTGGCGTCCCGTAATCAAGCTTCGAGAACATTCTCTATTTTCAGCCAATGAGACCTTCTCAATGTCTCAGTGTGACGGTGTAAACAAAACTAGCATATTACTAGAATTTTGTTTTAGCCAATCACATTGTGGATACATTTAGAATATGCATCTTGCACTTCAATGCCTGACAGAGTGAAAATGACAGCACTCCGTCACAACTACTAGTAGCTTGTATCCCATGGTACCAGGACATGTTGTTGTCCTTTAGTGCTCTAGTATATTGGTGGAGCCTGCAGAATAAGAATAAGGGTTCTACTAGCCGATACTTATGCTGTATTGTCGATTCTATTCATTTTTCCGTGCGCGGTTGGTTGAACCGATCAGCGAATCGCTCAGCAAATCGCCCAGACCTATCATACGTAATGCAACCTGTGCTACGGCATTCCGCATCATGCAGAGCAACACCGAGGAAGGCAACGCGCCGACGCCGCTGCGCACCTCGCTCAGGCGTCACCGTGCGCGCACATCGCCGTACAGCATGGACAGAAGTACGCCACAAGAGAGAAGCCCATCTCAAGACCGGGAACAACGCTCAACGAGCGAGGAAGACCGTCCTGAAGCGGGTCAAGCAGGTACTTCCGCTGGTCCGAGCTGCAGCCATTTCTTCCCCTGGAGCTGGGCCAGAAGCTATGGGAGATGCTCCTGCAGAAAACATGATAACAAGTGCAGTTTCTACAGCCAGACCAGCAGCTACAACACCTCATCCAGGCACTTTGCAGACGAACCAAGCCTCAACTGGTGCTCAACCTATTCTAGCAGGTCCTGACGACCTTTTCGAGTTAATTGTTCGTCCTCTCGTAAAGCAATCAGTCCGCCAGCGTGATAGGTCCGGTGAGGTTTACCGGCATGACGTGTTCACGGGGAATTCTTTCAACAGCATCATGGAGGCTATCTGGGAGAAATATCCACCTATTGTGAAACATCGCGCCGTTAAAATGAACGGTGTATGGAGTGTCGAGACTCCTGATATCGCAGCATGATCAACCGTGATGCAGTTCAAGGTGGAAAAGCGTCTGGTCAACCCAAACAAAAACGACGACGGCTGGAATGAGTGGCTTGAAAAAAATACTGGAGCTACGGTGACTATCATGATTTACGATTATGGCATGGAAGTCGTGACCGCCAAGGACCGAGTCGCCTTCTTAAAGGCTTGCATTTTGCCGAGGGAGACCGACCGTGCTGGTGCAACAGCAGAGAGCTCTCTACGAGAGGTTGTGGAGGCGCTTCAACAGAAGTGGGGAGGTACATTCCAAGCATCGGCAACTGTTTGGCGCATGTGGGCGAATCGCATAACGCGAAATTTAGACCGTTCGACGTGGGCTGCGGAGATTGCCAATCTCCCACCGAGTAACATCGTGCACCTACTGGATCCAGCTGAGTCCCGCTTGGAGGCGCATCTTACAGATGTTGCTCAGTCTTCCAATGTTGCGCTGGACTGTGTGAGAGCTTCAATTGAGGATTGCCACCAACTTCGAGGCTATTTAGATGCTGCTAGACGTTTTTTTGGATGACCAAGAGCAACGCTTGGTGGCACGTGAAAGCATCATAGAGGGTATTATTCGTGATCTTGCTCCTCCGTCGGCAAGTGAAGTTGTTGACCCGCTGCCTCTGATTGCAAACATCGAAGATACTGAGCACGCCGCGTAGAGGTATCACGCAACCGAGTTTTCCAGCACTCAATATTTTATTTTGCCTTAGAATTACGCTAGCGTAGTTCGACCGTTTTCCGTTGACGACTCTGCTTCAAGGTCAGAAAAATCCAAGTCGTCTTGAACACTCGCGCTCATGTTTTGTTCTAGTTGGCATCTCGTTTCTACTGAAAGTGGCCCGACAGGATCAAAGTCCCTTGGATCTTCCAGCCACAGTGCTGGAAAGTCTTGCTCATGTCGTACCATTGAAACCTTCGAAATGTCTGCGAAACAAAAGGCAGTAGATCTCGCCCACTGGACTCACTGTAATGCCGCTTGAACGATCGCTTGACGTTTCCGAAAAGGAATTCTATGGGATTGAAGAAGTGGCAATACGCCGGAAGGAATATTGGCACTATACCAACACTGCGAAGGTAGTGAATAATCTCTGGGTGTCTGTGGATGGAAACACCATCCAATATCCAGACTGAATTTCGTCCAGGGTACTGACGAACCGGTCCTGTTGGACAGTGAACGAAGTCTCGGCAGCAATTCGTGAACTCCAATCGATCAAAAGTCCCCTCTGTGTTGAAGTAGTCAAGAACTCCATTCACGCCAATAAACGCCAATAAACGCAAATATTGAAACCCGTGGCTTTCTCTCGAAATATCCACGAATTGCCAATTTCTTCCCACGAAAAGCGTATCCTCGTTTCCGTATCATCCCTCGGTTGTCAAAGGTGACATCGTCCAGGAATACGAGATTGTGGTGGCTCCAAGCTATGTGACTCAACTCCTCCACAAACCGAAACACATCACGCTCCTTAATGTGCATTGCTCGGCGCTCCAACACTTTCCAGGTGAGACCACCTTCGTGTATTATTCGCCACACGGTTGTCTTCGAGATATTGGTCGAATGAACTTGCACAAACGCATCTTGAGCTTCATCAAGGAATGCGAGGGGGTGATCATGATAATTGTCGAGTAGCCACTGACGCTGATCGCTCGTGTACTGCCGCTTAGAGCCGTTGTTAGCTCGCTGAAACGTCTTGGTCGTCTCGTAGACCTTAATCCAGTTACGGATGGTGCACTCTGCCTTGTTGAAAATGTGCGCGAGGTGCTTTTTCGTGAAGCCCAGCTTGTAGTATGCATACAAGCAATGGTAGACGGTGTTGGAGTGGGCATGCTGTCGCGTAACGGCTTCCTCCATGGCCCTCCCGCGCGCGTTCCGCTCTGCAATCACTTCAACGCATATAAATCATTTTGATTGGTCGTTTTTAGCAATTTTTGACCACTCGTAGCGCCGTGTGCTTCGCGATTGCTACTATTTCCGTTTGGCCCCACATCGGCAAATTTTGGTGGAATTGACAATACTAAGTACATTCCATTACTACGTGACTCTGATATATATTTCTAATATCTTCTGTTATGTGACAAGTAGTGTATTCCCAGCTAACATGTAAGCCGTAGACGATGTAGTTTTTAATTTTATACTGTCACCCCGCTATTCGTGATGTCCATGCTAAATACAGCTAAGGAAAGCTCAAGCAAATCTTCCCATATTGTTGACGCCCATTAATAACGTTGTTTTTATTCGCTGTAACGACTGATCTTGATTACGATTTCGTCTGTTGATGCGGCTTGCAGTCATGAAACACAACAGTTACCCCATCGCTTGATTAAAACTGTGCAATAACAGCCTGTGGCTTCAAGCCGTAGCCACTCACTATATAATCACATCGCTTTATTATCCAGGATACCTGTGCTATAATCATTTGTCGATTGCTGGATACAAACAGGACTGCATACCACATCAACACGCGACTTCATAATCGTCGAATAGTAAGTGAGACCGGTCGGTAGGATACTACGAGCCAAGTGCGAGGCACTCCCGTAAGCAAAATACCTAAAAACACAGTCGAGAGCATGCTTGCTTGGTTTTAGCTCACTTCGCAATTCACTGCAAGGGCACACAAACCATAATTTGAATCTCAAGACTGCGATGCATCCTCTCCAAGTTCTAATCATCACGGTGGTTATTCTCCTTACAATTAGCCAAGGCACCTCGACAGCCGCATCTCCGAAACCCGCAAGCTTCCTTGCCTAAATCGCCCCTAATGCGTTACTCGATCATTGCAGACCAGAGGCGGTCCCTGCGGACTGGGCATTTCGAAAAAAATCAAGAAGACTCGGCGGAGAGGGATATCTTAACGCAATTCAAACTTATATGGTGGATCTTGCTCATGAATCGAGCGACCACGTCAAGAAGGCGCTAAATCTAAAGCTCTCAAGAACCACAAGAACTACAAATTCTATACGGCCTTCGCCGACGCGAAAATAAACAAACAGCTCGATAAATGGCTCCAAGAAGGCATGACCACGACTGATGTTTGGAACAAAATGGGTTTTAAGGACACTACCGCGGACGATCTCCCCCGGATCTTCGAAAGTGAAAGGTTCAAACCATACCTTCGCTACGCGAACGCGTTCGACAACGCCATGTTGGCAACGTTGAAAGTACATCACAAACCTCCTGTTTTGTCGATAGCCACGGAGGCCTCTGACACAGAGATAAAAGCGAGAGCTAGCATTATGACCATCCACCAAAGGGATGAGAAGTCTGCGAAATTGTTACTGGGTCTGACTGTGCTAGGCAGACCCTGGAAGGCATTAGAGGGCGATGCACTTGAAAATCACATTCGCTAGGGGTACCTCAATTTTTTTTTAGGAAAAAGGCTGCTAGAGCACATGCTGAGATCGAGCGTGCGATAAAGGCGGGCGAGCTCTGAAGCTGGCAAGATAAACAAAGATGAGCTTTAGAATCGTTTTTAAGTTAGTTTTAAAGCTAGATGTCAACACCTCAACAACATACAGAACAGTTATTGAACACAACAACCACTATGCGCGCTGGTGGGTGAAAACAGTCGCAAATCTATGATATTGACCGTGACCACATTAAGGTGCTGGTTAAATGTTTGTTTGTATTAGATTACGAAATAATGAATGGTTTCATGTGGATGACTGTTTCCACTGTAAAATTCAGATGAAACTCACGTGACAAGTGCGGCCCGGAAGCCTGGCTTATTCGGTGTGATGGGAGCCGTTTCTGACGAAGTGGAGCCAATCGGCTCTGCTGGAAACAGACCGTGTACAGCATCATTCTGGAGCGTCTCGCTAATCCAATCGGCTTCAAACGCTAAATTGGACAGTGACTCCCTAAGTTCGTCATCGGCTTCTTCAGTTCCAGCGTCCTCCAGGCAGCTATGAGTCACCACAAAACTAGAGTGGTGGTGCTTCAGTTCCAGCGGCACAATAGAAGTGAAGCTCGTCGGGGACACACAGCTAGTTTCAAACTCCAAGAACGCCAAGTCGTTGCCCTCTTCTGTCGGCCACGGCGCGACCGAGGCGAAGTCTGATGGCTGCGACGACGGTGGATTCTTCAACACGGAGCTGAACTCGTCGTCCGAGAGCACAAAACTGGACGAGTCGGCGAATTGACTTAGTGGACTACTTAGACTTCGGATGGTGTCGATACAGCGCATCATTCGTAGCGTAAGCGGGATCGTCGAGAGCTGGATCCACAGCTGCGTGTTCGGTGTTTTCGACAGCCTCACAACCATGCGCATTTGCTGCGATGGATTGAATGCCAGTCCACTGCTGTTAATGCCGTGCTGCTGCTGCGCCCGTTGAAAATCTTCGAGTCTTTCTGCATCTCGAAGTATCAAAAACTGGAATAGGTTTCCGCCGTAGAGGTCGGCAGCGTTGTCAGTGCCGAATTGGGGAGCGCACGTATCTGCCACAAAGATGAACTCGCCCGACGGGAGGCAGTAAGCGATCCGTTTGCCATTTGGCACCTGGTTGATCTCCAGTAGCGTGACGGTGCCCAATCCCATGGTGACTGTACCGAGTGACGACGTCCGTTCTGGTGCGACCAGTCAGTGTGGTGCTACGAGGCACTTGGGCAGTGACGGAGTCTGAACTTGTGCCTGGGTCGCCTGCTGTCTATGGTTTTCGGGGTGTGAAGCGATGAGTAACAGGAAATTGAGCGACTGAAGTGGATCGGATCGAAACCAGTATAAGAATCGGCAGAGAGAACTGATTGACAGACAGCTCTCGCGCTAATGATAGCTTCCGGACGCACTGGAGGTGTGGGACCTGGCACCCCTAAAGCGGATCGCACAATGCAGTGTCGAGGGTGGGTTGGGTTGGGCGATGAGAGCAAGGAGGACGATCGGGCGAGGGTTGCCTTGCTTTGATGCTGGAAACCCGTTGAGAGGATTGGTTGGTTTGCCTCGGTTGCACCCGTTACCCCTTGCTATTTGGTCAAGCTGCCGATGCAACAATGGCGAGCGGTTCAAGTTGATGGAACCATCGCGGATCCTGTTGCAAGCAATGCCAATCCGACGACGCGAAAGACGAACCAGATTTCGGTTTGGCGCCGGAACCTGGCTTTCTCGATCGAAACAAATATGTCGAGATTATGTATTCTCAGGGATTGATTATCGTAACAGCTCTGTTTACAGCAGAGAGTATTGCTAGCGAACTCGACGGGGATGGCAAAAGGCACAGGTATCGCACGTCGCTCGTTGAACTTGCACCCTAACCAAGACTGACGTGCTCATGGTACAGTGTACCCTTCAACCTGTCCCGGATTGGCTGAAATGTCTGACCAGTCAATTGTCGAAGCAGTTCAACAACGATGGCATCCGATGAGGATCAAACATCAGCGTCGATCCCGCTTGACGATGTCGAATACCCCGTCGTGCTTGGCCAGTCGCTGATGGAGCCGGATGACGATAAAGAAGAGCAGGGTGCCGTGTACGCGTCTTTTGGTTACGAATTTCAGCCGGCATCGGTGGACAAGAGCACGCCCGGACTCGTGAGTGTGGACGGATCCAGCGGCGTGCAGGTGCTCATGGGCTCGTCCACGGGTGGCGTGACCTTTAAGGGCAAAGTGATGGAGAACAAGGAGACAGACTGCCTGCTGATCTTCGACGGCTCCGGCTTCCGGCTCGAGCGCTGCCCGTTTTCCTGCATGCAGCTGCGGCACGTGCGAGCCCCCACGCCACGGCAACGTGTGAAGATCCCTGCCAAACAACCCAGCGGCATTGTTGCTGTGCCTGTGCCGGGGTTGAAGGACGGTAGTGCATCAGCAGGATCAGTGCCAGTACCAAGTAGGGCAAGCAAGGCACCGGTCGGGAGACCAAAAGGGTCTCGCAACAAAAAGCCCGTGAGCACGGACACTCCAACTGCAAAGCGACCTAGAGGTAGACCGAAAGGTTCGACGAAAGCAGCCATTGCAGCGAAGAAAGCGCGGCTAGAAACCAAAGATAATAGCGACACGTGAGTCTCATCTGATGCATTTATAGTACTATGAATTCGACAATGACCATGAGGCTCTTGACAGCCTATGCTCCTGTCAACGACAGCACTTTAGCTTTTTGTCACTGCATAACTCCCATTGCTACGAGTGTCATGTCTATGGAAGATGTCGTTACGTGTCGGCTTGCATTGTTCTATTCACATGCGCACGCCATGAAGAAACATTAGGACTGTATTGTCATTATGTACACCACATAAAATGATAGCTGAAAAGGCACACAAAAAATCTGAGAACAATTAGGGGGTGCGCTTTCCAATACAAAACCCAAGTTAAAATGGGTAGGTCCAACCTCAAGTGTGGGGTAATGGTCTTTCTCTTCAAAGTGAAGAATACCGGCTGGCAGAAATAACGCTCATCGTGCCCCAGTAGTCGCAAGAAGGAAGCACGCATCAAAACTCCCCACACCAGCCCCCTCCCTCATGAGTAAAGCGAACAAGCGCCGAGAGACGGACGTCATGAAGCTGTGCGTGTCTGCCGTGTCGTCATTTTGAAATGTGAGAGAGCAATGACAGAACAATCTCATTCACGCGCTACTTTTTTCTTCTTCTGTTTTGAGCAGCATGATGAGCGACTATGAGGTGCATCTGACGGACGAGACTAGGACCAGCGACCTCGACGTCAAGTTCCATGGCCCGAAAGACAGTGCGTGTCTTTATTGCGAGCGCAGGAGACATCTCCCTTCTGACGGTGCTTCTGTCTCTTGTGTGTGAGAAGCCCCGTACGAAGGAGGCTCCTGGAAGATCCACGTGACACTGCCCAAGGATTACCCTTTCAAGTCCCCATCCATTGGCTTTGTGAACCGCATTTACCATCCGAATGTGGACGAAACGTACGATCATGATTATCTCCCCCCAACTTACCTACATAGGCTGATAGTTCTTGTGTCATTGACTACCAGATCTGGATCTGTGTGTCTGGATGTGATCAACCAAACGTGGAGCCCAATGTTCGGTGAGTACAATTTATGATATAGTCGTGTGAGGGGGTAAACTGAATGGACCTGCTGATTGTTTGTTGTTGTTGTTAGAGCTGGTCAACATTTTCGACATGTTCATCCCACAACTGCTCCGATACCCGAACCCAAGTGACCCACTGAACGGTGAGGCCGCCTCGCTGCTCATGAAGGACGCCGAGTCGTACAATAGAAAAGTCAAAGGTATTGAGTTTTACTACTTGCATGTGCATGTTTAGAGTAAACTGATGTATTTCTTTTGACGATGTAGAATATGTGCGGAACTACGCCTCGCAGCCCATTGAGATGGGAAACGAGGAAGACGACAGCGATGTCAGCGATATGAGCGACATTGAGTAGTGGCTGGCCATCCAACCTCTTGACACTCTTCAGTAGACCGACCGATCTGGCGCATGCTGCTTGCATCATGGACAATTATTCGCGACGCCACTTCCAACATAAACCAGATTTATCCTGTCGCCCCGCTGCATGTCCCGAATGTTTCATTTCGTTATTCCTCTCCATGTCGTAACAAAAAGAAAGGAATAGCATTTCATTGTTTTTATTTCGCATATGCATCCGTGTGGGGGTACTCGCATTTACTTGGAAAGGAAGTTGGAAGCATCCGCTTTTCTCTGAATGTAATGAGCGTTCCTGCGAAGCCGATCGCTCATGTTGCTTTCACCATCCAGGTAAGCTTCTGAGTGCAGTTTTCTACAACGACAATTAAGTGAATAGTTAGTGGCAATTCAATGAGAACGTGTAAATAAAGGATCGATGCCGTACCTGAGGAATTCTGGGTTGGTGTTTGAATTTGAAGCCTCTTGCTCGCGCTTGTCCAGTTCATCCTTTTTCAGTGTTGCGCGCTTGGCAATGTATTTATCGCGTTGCTTGGCATCTTCTACCATCTGCTGAGCCATGCGCATTTTCTCCTCGCCGGTTAACTCGCGCTGTTCTGGACGAGAGGATTTACCGAGCTTGCGCCGGCGCTCTTCTTCCTCAAGGCGCTTAGCCTCACGAGCCTTTGCTAAGTACTTGGCATTGGGGCCTAACGACGACTTATCGACATCCTTGGACTCCACGGCACCTGCTTTGCTGATTAAACCATACTTGCCGTCGGTATCCACAGGCTTACGTCTCGACTCTGGTTCCTTGTGTCGTCGACTATCGCCGCGCTCTTCTCCTGACTTCCTCGCTCGGTCGCGGGACGAGTTCCGCTCACGACGTGTGCTTTCGCGTCTGGAAGGGCTGCGATGACGCTGGCTATCGCGATCTCTACCTGAGCTACGAGATTGACGCCTATCCCGACGGTCGATTGGGCTTAGAGAGCGACGTCTTTCTCGACGATCGACTGGGCTGCGAGAGCGACTTCTCTCATCGTAATGACGGTGGGTATCCAGCTTGTGCTCACGTCGGGGAGGAGTTCTGCTGCGATCATTGATTGAGCCATCGGTTGGTCGTGCAGGAGGTCTATCGCGACCGAAGTCATCACGTCCTTTAGGACTTCGACTACGACTGCGGCCTCGTTGTTCGTGTCGACGAGTACTGCGACTTCGACTACGGTAGCGACGGTCTCGAGTGGTGCTGGAAACACGGCGGTCTCTGGACGAACCTCTTCCGCGTCGTTCGTTGACGTATCGGTCTCGACTTGATCGATTCTTAGCATGACTGCTCTCATGACGCGCTGGTTCTCGATCGCTGTGATGCGGACGACTACGGTCCCGATCACCATGGTGACGTACAGAGAGCGGTGACCTGGATCTACTCTCCGATCTTGAGCACGATCTCCCTCTCTCACTTTCACGACCATGTCCACGATGGTGCTTGGAAGGGTAGTCTTTGTGGCGACGACTCGTCTTCTCTTCCTTTTCATCCGCGCTGGTATCACTCACACTGTCATCATCATGTTTCCTTTTCAGTCGTCGCTTCTCTTCTTTTCGAGCATAATTCTTCTCCTTCTTCGCAGCTTTCTTAGCTTTCTTGCGAGCCTTTTTGTCTTCCTTTACGCGATCCACTTCGTCTTTGATTCTTTTCATCTTGACTGGGTTCTTGAGGACCTGTTCGCGAGCTGCTTGCTGTCTCTTGCGGATGAGCATCATCGGATCCTCGTTTAGGCGCTGGAAGGCGTCATTGGCCGGTAGCGCGCTCTTGGTAAGCGCCAGAGAGCCGTACTTGGTGGTTGTGCTCAGGTCCACGTCCCCTTTAGCTGCCTTCTCATCCTCACCCTTGTATTCTTTGCCTAACAGATACTCCTCGGCCGTCTTCTCTCGAGCAGCAGACGGCCCTTCGTACATCCAGTCCAGACGCTCCACAGCCGCCGACTTGTCACCACGTGCCGCCTGCAGCTGCCTTAGCTCCTGGAGCTGCCGTTCCTCCTCAATGTTCTTGCGCAGCTCCGCGACTTTCTTCTCTTCGGCCGCATGTTTCTGCTCGGCAATCCAGACCTTCTCCACATTCTGCAATGGATCGATGGATCAACATGAGGACAATGGTCAATGGTACAATCATTCTAAGATATATTGGGCGCTGAGAGAGTCAAGGGATAAACAAGAGGTGCTGGTAATGAGCAAAAGCTGGTACGTACGCGCAGATTGGCCGTATGCCAGCTCTTCTTGGACAAGAACGCCAACGACATTCTGCAGGGGTTCCAATGAAACTGGCACCGTGCTAGTTTTTTAAGGGATTAAAAGTCATCAACTAGAAATGTGGTGTGGCGCACCAAATTTGATGTGGTCACAGTGAAATCATTTGGACCAGGTCGAAGTAAAATTAGGGCTTCGCGAAGACTGAGATAGGAAATACCAAACGTGCTACAGAATCGACGCTAATATGATGACGCATCGGTAAACGTCGACTAAAAAACGACAGAGTATCGAGGTAGTTTATCCTGTTCAATGATATGCTGTGGCTTGCACTAACCGACGAAGCCCTCAAGTGTGTAGTCCACTCGTGGTTATTATAAGAAAGGAAAAACAAAGAAAGTAGGCAACACAGTTGAGTACGCAGCCACTTGGTGATGCAAAGAAATGATGTTGTGGCCCTATACTTGCTTTGACGGTGGTGGAGCCGTTTCCGTGCTTTACGGATCGAAAGAGCAACGAATTCTAGCCGTGAACAAAAAGGTCGAGATATCTTTAGCGAACCCCAGAGTGGTGTTCGTCAGGAAACGAAGACACGGAGAAGGGAGCCGACGGTGCTCCCTGGTAGTTAGCCGTTATCGTACTGCTGAGTAAATAGCAAAGTGAGGGCCTACATCGAAGTACTACATGCAGCTAGTCTACATGGTACAGGTAGTCTTTAGCTGCATTGCTTGGACACGAAGGCTGTCATCACTTGTGTCGTTACAGGGTATCCTGCCATGCTGGATGTCGAACGCTGTATACAGCGATGTCGATACGCAGAAGATCATATGATCTGTAGTCTTCAATTTGTAGCTGGACCTGGCTGGATCCTGCTGTTCATGCGTAGGATGCATTACACTAGAGTGGTTTAGCAGAAACCTACGAACGTGTGACGCCCAGTTTTTTTTTTTTTTTTTTTTGCGAGGTAGGCCAGAGACGAGCGTCGCACGTTCGTTCAATTGATGTAGCGACGACTGATAAGCTTTCTACAAGTTGTATACAATAGCGTATATAAATGTATTTCATCCAGCATTGTATCCTAAAACTGTATAGCACAATTTGGTGGCGCACAGTCCACATCTTGCAGCAGCAGTCACCAGCCAGCCACCGACCATGGAGTCTTCTCGCCCGACCAAGAAGCGCAAGGCACAAGTCCGCTTTGGCGACGACGACGCGTACGCCCCGCACCGCGATGGGCTCAATATGCCACCCTCAAGAGAGAGCAGCCTGCTGCACTTAGCGTAGATGAGGTCCACCATGTAGCAAAAGATCAGGCATAGGCCGTGGGAGACCTGCCGAACAGCACCCCAAGATCCCCGTACCGCCCGGGGTATGCAAACCGACGCAGCATCACACAGAGCCCCTCAACTCCACCAACACGAAGGCGGCTTGGGAGTTTGTAGTCTTCTTCAAGCCGTAGCGACTTGTGCAGGCGAATTACGTCACGCATCCAGAACCAGAAATTAAAACGACAGTCTCCGTCGCTTAATGCTTTGAAATTGAAGTTGCCCTTCAGTGCGAGGACGGGCCTTGGCACAGGGGGTCGGGCGATGAGCAAAGCGGCGTCCTCGACGAGGACGAGGTCCAGCATAGCTGCTGTGAGAACTAAGCTCTCCTCGAGCATTTTGACTGACTTGTGTGCTTCGTGAATGTAGTATACAGCTAGGAAAGAGGATATCCTCGCGTTCGCTTTGCTAAATGCGTTACTGGCCAACCAGCGTGTGCTGCCGTGTGACCAGGGGTGTGTAATTGGCGCCAGTCTACAACTCGTACACGTTCCTGCTCCTAAACCACTCTACTGTCCCTCCAAGCCTGGTTCAGGTAGAAGTAATTGTTTATCAATAATGTCATTGTGACACGGTGTTGTTGTTTATATGACGTGATTGTGTGCGACTGTCGAAATCTCGCATTTTTGTAACGTGATATCACTGGTCGTCGGTTGAAATGGCTTGGCCATAACTATAACAACTGCAACCAGTTGAAGCAAATCTTTGCAAATTCTTATTGCAGTCAATACTGTGAATAAGGCCATGAATTTAGTACAGCATATTCACAACAAACTAAGCTACTTCGTAGCATCAATAAATTTTGATCTTTGCTGGGCAATATTGATTGTGGCTAAAGTATGCAGACGTTTTTATTAAAATTTGAAACGGTTGTCATTCCAGTACTTGCGTACCTTAGGGTCCTGTTGTTGAATGCACTGATCGAGTAGAACCTTGACTACTTTAGCTAGAGAACTTAGTGGTTCCCATGAGCCTTCTACAGACTCTAGACCTTTCCAGCCTACTAGAATCTCATACGCTATTATTGAGGAGTTCCAACGATACTTTTTCAGCTTTGATATGGTCAAAATGATGCCTTGGGCGGACACATGCTCGATTATTTTCTCGGAGACGTCCAAACTACTGTCCATGCAGAACTTGAGACGTGATGGGTGGACATCTAGCTCATCCCCGGTGACGAGATGACTCACCCGAAATGAATGAACGTCCGCACGGACCACTTTGTATGGACCTTGCCACGTAACTAGTAGCTTCTTGCCGTTTTTTTCTTCGACACGAGAACGAAGTACATAGTCGCCCACGTCAAAGTCCACAATGTTGTCGCCCCGCTCTTCCTTTTTGTTGATGAGCCGTTGCTTCAGCTTTTGATCTGCTATGGGCTTGTGCATTGCGCACATGCTGTCTCGCAATACCGCTATGTGCTGGGAGATGGCTGCAGTGTCTTTTGGCAGGGTAACCAACTTCTTAGTACCGCCATGGTAGAATTCTGCCAGCGGAGTCGGACACGGTAGCCCGGTGAGCAGCTCAACTGGAGCTCGGTTGCCCAGTGACGGCAACGCCGTATGGTTTATACTAGCTTGCACTAGCGGAACGAGGTAAACTCGATCTCTAGTAAAGATTTTGTACTCTAGGATCATAGCTCGCAACACTTGGAGGATGTCGTGATTTACGCGCTCCACTGACCCATTTATCCATGGACTGTAGACTAGAGTGAATGTATGCAAGCTCTTGAACCTTTTGCAAAGCTCTGCTACCACCTCATTCTTGAAGTGAAAACCATCGTCGCTAACCCACAGTGGTGGTGCGCTGAATCGGCTGTGCCGTCGAGGATGGCTGCCGCTGCGACAGCGCTGTCCACTGTATCGCACACGACCAGCTCGCAGAAGTGAGTGGCGTGGTCCTTCAATACTAGCAGGTACTTGCTTGTGCCGAAAGATTCACCAATGAACAGGTAGTCCCAATGTAGAACTCCATTGTGTTCAGTACACTCAACAGTCTCGCTTCATTGTCGATGGACCAGCGATGCTTATACAAGTGCCCTTGCCATCCTCGAAAAGGCAAGTAGGCCATTCTTGTTCAAGTGTCAATAAATACCTGGTCAAATAGATACTACTCAACACATCATCTTTGTACACAAAATAAAACTCCATCACTGTCATATTGCATTATTTTAATCATTTCCTTCCAGAGGAAGTAGTTGTTAGAATGATGACTTCAGAAAGCAAAGTTACATTCTTGTTACTTAACTAATAACATTGTACACTTAAATTAGCATTAACAGAAAAGAGCAGCATCTCAGGAAATTGAGTTAGCATGGCAGCAGTATAGAATTATTCCAAAGTATTTATTTCGTGGCTGTTGCAGCATGTTTTCTGTGTGTCGTGTGTCATGAGTGTAGACCAGCAAACCATACAACGATAGCCGTTCACGCCTACAACACTAGTAACGCTAAAACGATTAATATGTAAAGTAAAGAAATGGCATGTAGTAGCGCGCAGCCAACTTATTCAAATTCTGAAAACAAATCCTAACCTCACAGTCGCTTTAGCAGCACAAGAGCTACCCCTGTAGAACCCTCCCTAATCCCGGAGTGACTTGCGTTGCGTAGCTTTCGCCATCATTCTGGTGTCGATTCTTCAATTTGGAAGTACGAGCGTGGGTTGCTTGAGCAACACGTAATGCACGCTTTTTTCACAACACAAAAGACCAATCGTTACAAAACGTTAGTAATAAATCTGCAACCATTACAGTAAATACCTCCGATTCATCCTTTTAGTCGCGTTTCCGCGCGAGCTTGCGCGGCAGGTTCCTCAGATTGTCGGGTATGCGTCCTTGGGAGTACGATCGAAACTCAAGGTGGTCTCAGTGGAAGACGATCTACGTGCGCGATTATGGTTTACATACCTAATAATTCAGAGTGAGCGGGTGAATCGAGTAATCGTTTATTTAACACAATGCGAACTAGCACGCCATACCGCCGTTCTTGCCGCGAATAACTCCCTTCATTTGCTACTAAGCTCACACACTCCCATCATCGACATTGTCATTATATAAATCAACGCTAGAATATAGAGCACATTACCTTTGATGGACTTCTTTTATTATTAACCCCCCCCCCCCCACACACACACACACACACATCATCTTGACCATGCTAGTCTTTTGATCATATCAATGGATTCGTTTCTGTCATTTTGTTCTGGGGTGTTGTCCGAAGTTGTACACAATTTTAGGCAGTCCCCATACTCGGCTAGTAGTTATAAAGTCTGTAACATATGAAACGTTTGGCGGTGACCCGGGTCACCGTAAAAAAAAGTCGTTGATGGGAATTATTTTTTTATATACCTATTTTTGGTTTATCCAAAAGTCGTTCTGGTGGTTCCACTCGGTGAACTCATGAGCAACCAGGAATCTGCCCCAGCACCCTTAGCCGCTGATCACAGCACTCCTGTACCCAACCAGACTGGAGTCATAGATGGGATGATCAGCACCAGTCGTGTTAATGAAGACGGTAGAGCGCAGCGTCGAACCGGTGGTCCTGGGGGCTCAGCTCAGACGATACCAAGTCGCCGTCGAGCGGTTTCACGTAAGTCGTCACCTATAGACCGTGCTCGCGAGACACTTGGAGAAGAGACTGTCCGTCAACTACAACAAATTTACCGATCGTTGGATTCTACATGGGGAGGGTCCGAGCACGACCAGGCTGAAGGTATGGTTCTTAGTTTAATTCGGCAAGGTGTTGCAGACGCACAAATACGCGCCATTTTCAGAGTTGGAGGCTCAATGATACAGAGATTAAAAGGAGTAATTAAAAACGGCATTGATACGCTGCACACACGTCGCTGCGGTACTACTCCAAAACATGCATTCAGTGAAGACGACGTATCCTTTTTATTTCATCTTGTGCAGATTGGAGCTTGAAGAAGGGTTTCCATGCTCACATCGGCGTCCTAGGCAATATTTTGTGGAGCCGAAGATTACGTGGAAGTTACTATGGGAAAGATATAAGAAGAAAGCAGAGGATGCTGAGCGAAGAGTAATCCTGTACTGCAAGTGGACTCAGTACGTGCATCTTCATTACCCTGGTGTGCGACTTTCCCGTACCAAAGAAGACTTTTGTGACGCGTGTGTTCGACTAGAGATAGCGCTTTCAGCTCGGGATCTTAGTGATGATGACCGTAAGGAGCTTGAAGCAGAAAACAATATGCATGTCAATGCTGCAATCAATCAACGACGGGCTATGTCTGCTTTTATTAAGCAATACGTCTCTGCACACGAACCGTCCCTGATATTACCTGAGAATATTATAGCTGATCATGCCGAGGTACCCATTCAGGGGGAGGAAATTATTCACGAACAGCTTCCGATGATGCAGATTCAAATCGAAGATTATGGAGGTAGATTTGCTCTCCCTCATTACGGTTTCAAACGGCCTGCAGCAGATTACTTCAACTCGAATCTGATGATGCACAACTTTGTCATAGCTGACATCACAAATGGATTAAACAATGTGATGGTTTATGACGAACGGTGTAGCGGAAAGGGGGCGGATGCGCTTTGCAGCTTGCGACTATTGTATCACATGCAACTAAGAACAAGGTACATTAAAGCTGGTATTTTGACTCCACAAAAATTTCTCACTCTGTTGGTTATTATGGATAATTGCGTCGGCCAAAACAAGTCACGTGCGGTGTTCGCATTCTATGCTATGCTTTCGGTTGTGTTTTATAAGAAGGTGGTTCTACTCTTTCTACTTCCTGGTCATTCGCATAACGCCGCGGACCGAGTTGTTGCATGGTGCCGCAACAAAATGAAAGGGGTTAACCTTTATGCTCCCAACGAGATAGTGGCCAAAATGAACGAGACCAAGTCGGTGAGAGCCCTATTTATAGATCATGGAAGTAACTTGCTCCCTTTCTTTTATGGTTGGCCGGAACTACTGTACAAGTATTTCACGAATATGCCTAGTGGCTACACGGGAAATCTCTTCGAAATCGACGGCGGTATCGTATCAATGAAGCATCTCGTCACCACTCCGGACGAAGATGTTCAACACCATTCTCTTATTGGGTGCGGCGATGCTGGTACTATCCGCCGAGCTTTTCTCCGGGATCTTTTCGGAAGATGCGATTTAGACAGCGCAACAGCAAGAGATGTCACGCTTCCGCGACAGCCATTGTTGTC